AGGGCACTTCTTAACACTAGGATATTTTTTTTATGTGTGTGTATGTATTCATGTGTTGGTTTCACTGAATGAATGAGTTCAAACGTGGGAATCTGTCCCGGCTTATATTAGCAGATCTAACCTTAATACAGTCTAACCACTGTTCACCTGAGTACATAATGCTCTGAATATGAAGGCCTCTTTGTAGTGGAAGCGAGTGCATGAGTGTATGTGTTTATTGTGGTTTCTGAACATAAAGCCGTCTCAGCTATGTGTAGCCCCTAAGCAGAGGCTGGGCATGACTCTGGATCAAAGCAGATCACAACCCTTAAGAACGCGTTCTCCGATTCAAAGTGAGTACGTTTGTAAGAGAAGTCAACTATCACAGAGCAAGAGATGGTTTTTATGTGGGTGAGTATGCTTGCACTGATGGCATTGTGAGCCTGATCTGGATAAGCGTTTCAAAACAGGTGGCTGAATGGACCGATGGATGCCCAACCATGTGCATTATTATTATTATTATTATTATTATTATTATTATTATATGTCAGTAGGAGGGAGAGGGAAACCAAGAGCAAGAGAGAGATGGAGATCATCTCAAACTCAACTGAAGCATGGTGGTGGCAGCATCATGGGGGGGTCTCCTCCTGAGAACTGGGAGGAGGATCAATGTAGTCAAATACAGAGATGTCCTCGAAAAAACCTGCTCCAGGGTGCACCCAATCTGAGAATGGGGCAACAGTTCACCACCTTTCAGCATGGCTTGACTAGCGCCGGTGCATGGCAGCCTGTCGTCATCGGTGTGTGAATGTTGTGTGTGAATGGGTGAATGGTGTATGATCTTCTGTAAAGCGCTTTGGCCAGTGCAACACACTGTGAGAAAGCGCTATATAAAATACAGTCCATTTACCATTTACCATGACAAAGCACAGCCAGGATAACTCTTACTGTCCTTGAGTAGCCCAGCTGACGCCTAGACTTAAACCCCATAGAACAAAGACCTCAAAAGGGTCTAAATACTTTCTGAAGTCACTCTATTTCCAGAATACACTGGACACAAGGCAAGATCACATGCACAACAGGACACAACAGGGCGACCACTTGAGACATCTCTGAAAATAGTCCCAAAACAGGTTAAAACAGTAGGTTGCATGGCTTCACCACTGATGGCATGGTATAGGCTAAGGCCTAATCTGGGAATATGGATTTATGGGTGGACATTTTAGCACACATCTGTTTGCTGTATTTCAATGTGCAGGTGTCTGCAAATTCCAGTATATTCCAGCAGCTGGCACCGAGCAACCCCCTCGGGGTGGTCGCACCATTCGCACCTAATTGATGCCTTTTTCTGCTGCCAGTGACGTCGATCCAATAGCATCATGCCATGAAGTAAGCCCCCACTAGCTCCACTCCAATTCGCATGTACTTTACAGAGCCACTGCGCTGCTCACACGCCAGCCTGAACGCACTCTGGCCGGGGAAATCACGCCTCCTAACCAAACCAGAGGCGTGCACACCAAGAAACAATGCTCTGACAGACTCGAGAAAAGTTACATAATCAAACGGCATGTGAGAGATTCCCAAACAGGCTGGTGATAAAAAGGAGTGATTTACTCTTTATTTGTTATGATGCAAAGGGAGCAAGGGAACGAGCTGGCAAAACTCATTTTGAGATTTTGCAACACCTAGTCCAAAAATCAGGAGGCCACTGGAGAGGCAAGATAGGGCAGCTGCAAAGCTGAGACACAGCCTTTAGGAGTCGAGTAGACCTGTGGGGACCCCATCGTCCAGATACCCAGTCTGAGTCCTCTAACGTAAATGGCAACTTCCCATACTCCACAGTAGCCCGTCTGCGGGGATCAGAATACACGCCTTGTGCCATATGTGCGCACAGTCTTTACTGCCGACGCACCGGGAGCAGCGCCGGTGTCACACGGAGAGAGACGCGTTGTCAACAAACCAAACACTTCACGTCCACTATCACTCTCACTATATCGTGCAGTCCTCAGCCACCGTCGCCCCGCTTACCTCCGATGGTGCCCCGTTTTGTCTTTCTTCCCCTTCGGCCTCCTCTTTCTGGCCTGGATGGCCATCACTGCCGGGGCGAGGTTACGTTTATCCACGAGCATGACCGACGTCCGAGTCCGGGGAAGGGTGCAGGGTGACGGACGGGGAGAGAGAACAAACACACCATCAGGCTCTAAAGCTGGCTGGCACGGCTCATTTAGCGTCGTTTAGCGTGCCCTGGTAGGATTTCTTCACGCGAAACTTCCGCCACATTTCATTTTAAATGCAACCAGAAGTGTGGCAGCATAGCCGAGTTGGAGGCTGAGGGATACGTACCTTTCCTGGAGCTCATGTTTCCTCCTCTTCCCCTCAGCAGGAGCGGGCAGCTCGGTGGCAGCAGCCGGAAACTCGCCCCTCTCTCTCAGACACACACGCACACGCGCGCACACACACTAACCTCTCTACCTTCGGATGACACGCGCTCCCTCTGTCGCTTGAATCGTGCGTTTGCACGTAGCCCTGCGTGGACCACAGTCTTTAGGGTTGGTGACAATCTAAGGGTTGGTCCTAATTCTAAGACAAGTGGCCGATGATGTTTATTCCTCCAACATGAGCTTCAGCTGCCAGTTGTTAGAGATGCCTCCAAACTATTTGCACTTGCATCTGTCCTCACTGTTAATAAAAAAAAGTGTGAGATAATGACTTAGTATATGGAATAAAAAGCAAACAAGTTGTAACTTGAATTTTTTTCAACTTCACTCCAAAATTGAAAAACCTAAATCTATTTTAACAGCTGGTTGCAAAGAGACCTTACAATTTTACGTCGTGTTTTGCTGTCTGAAGGAGAAGGCTTGTCCACATTGGTGTATCTGTCTGTGTTGATCTACGTGTGCAGCTATTGACTCGCTCTTGTTTAAATTCATTTAGAAACGTAAAACAGAGTATAAAAGCAGGAAAACTCTTATTAGACAACATGCAGAAGGGGGTTTTAATGTATTAGACGTTCAAGCTATCAAGTGTATTTAAGATTAATTGGCTAAAAATGTGTTTATCTGGTAATAATATCCCCTGATTTATCATTCCCAACTTTATGTTTAAGACTTTTGCTTTCCTGTAATTCTCACAGGCGTGGTACTAAGTGGCATGAGTGTGCTTTACTGAAAAGTAACAAAATAAACAAGTTGACAATTAGTAATTATCATCCTTTCTTTTCTCTGCTCGAGGGGGATATGCCTTTTTTGTGACGTTATTTTTGCTGCATTTCCCAAGTAACCTAACGTTAGGGTTTGACAGACGGTGCTTGCATCAAAATGTAGTTAACAGCCATTAGTGTGCATACGCATAACCAAACTCTCTTGTGGGACATTTCAAGGGCTCTTGGGGGCCCTCTGGCGGCCACAGGGGCTCTAAGCAGGCTTTCAGTTTCCTTATGCCTCGGGCCAGCTCTGCAAAAGGGGATCAACGACCAGCCTATTTGTTTTTCCCTATTCCCATACTCCATTCCCAACTTCCTGCCCCACTGAGTTATAAAGTTATAAAAAATATATATTTTTGTTCTTGCCTGCAAAACATCTAATTTCTCAAGCTGTCATAGCAGCAGAGCCATAGACAGAACACTCACAATCAACCACAGAGATCATTATTGCTTGAAACATTACATGTATGGTCACTCTTTCTGCTCCCCAGTCACATCCAACCAGGCTTCTCATAACATTTAACACCATCTCATATGTTTCTACTATTTTTGTTATAAATGTTGAAGTGAGTTGTTCATCAAACCAAATGCTGAGAAATTTGAATACTTTCTCTCTCTCTAGTGGAGATTCATATGTACTGTAAATAATTTCACGCTAGGCCATTTTGTTCTAAAATTGAAAATATAACATGAATGAATAGTACTGTATGTTTACTCTGGATACTTCTTGAAACTAAAACTGATGTACTTTTACTTGTACTCCATATAATGAGGTATCATAAAAATACCAGGCTATTTAGTGTTTCACTTAAAACATGTTCCCCCATTTCTTTCTTGTTGTTTGGATAAAGTCACAGGAGAATGTATGCAAAGTAGAGCATGTGAATCCTGAAACATATTGACATAGTAGAGCATGTGAATCCTGAAACATATTATTGTTCTTGGGGCTTCAGTGTGCTGATTATGAACTGCAATGCTGATGGTTGGGAGTACAGGTGGAAACTTTTGATGAACGGACAAGTGAAAGTTTGGATTAGTTTTGATTTCGTTTGACAAATAAAAATGAGCTACTGTTTGCTCGCATGTAGGGATTATAGCCTGTAGGTTAAAGGTAAGTAGGCCTAGTTAAGCAGCGAATTTAATATCATCCTCCTCAACGATGCTACACTTCCACACAGAATCTATGTGTTGTATCAGTACAAAAACTTGGTAGCAAGCCCAGGATTCTGCTTCAGCACTATTTATAGTGTTAGATGTGTGTTTTTGTATTGCTGTCTACAGCCTACTTTCTGGTTTGTGGTAGATTTTGATGTTATATCTGCTGTCAATTTTAATTATTCATGGTGCCCAGGACCTTTGTAACTACTGCTTCCAATGAGAAACAGCATCGAATGTCATTAATAATATGAAATTATTAGTCCAGACCCAACTGCTCCTGGTGCAGTGGTGGTGTTTATACAGTTCTCTAACAGACACATATGACTTACTTGACAAATGTATGATAATTATTTAAGCCCAGTAAATCTGAAATCCAAAAAGCATCCATTAAAACTGCACCTAGGAACACATTTGTCACTAGAAGTAATCGAAATGGTCTTGACACATTAGTTTTTGCTATAGCTATAGAGACTACCTAATAAAATGGTGACAGAGAGTGAAATGTACAATGACAAAAAATGCAGAAAGATCTTAGCTTATCATGCACAGTTTATTTAAGCATCATGGTACTAGAGTGTAATACAGCACTCTGTAGATGGCAGTACGAGAACAACAAAAATGTTGCCCTGAGGCCCCGTAGGACGTAAATCAGGCCATGGGCGCTACAACAAACGCAGTGTTGTTGCAGAAGAAAGGCACACGCGTAAAGACTTATGTGACACTTTTATGAGGCAGCGATAATGCACCATTTCGATGTTTGCCAACCATCACGAAACACCAAGAAAGAAGATGAACGAGGCGGTTTTAGCTGTCGAGTTGTCCTTTCTTTCCTATATAAAGCCCAATCTGAGAGCAAACTAACGTTTGCAGCAGGATGGTTTTAGCCGTAGGATCTGTTTCCGGCGGGGATACACACATGTGAGCAAAGCTGGTGCTTTCTCTCACACTCATCTGACTATCACCACACAGAGCTAAGGTAAAGCAGAATTTCTCGTTGAAATAACGTTGTTTTTGCTTTTACACAGAGACTTTAGCATAGCTTTGCTGATAGCCCACGTTAGCATTAGCCAACGATGTTGGTTAACGTAGCTGGTGACACTGCGATGCGCTAGCGGCTTTGCTAACTTTTAGATAAGCAGCAAAATGTTCATTTTATTTTTTAGTGCCTGGTCGAATTAAGAAGTGCCCGCAAGTGTTTTGCAGCTAGAAAGCAAGACGTGTTTGTCAACTTCCACGTCGGTCTTTTACAACCTCACCTCCACAAACAGTAAGTCAGTAGCATTGTTCTCTAGGCTACTGTTGTCACCTCTGTTTGCCCACACTGCAGTGTATAATAGCTATGACCTCACTAAAGGGCAGTGGCTTTGGGTTACTGCCTAGATGAAAGTACAGCAGCTTTAGTTTGTCACCAGTTAGTATGGTGCAACATAACAAAATGCCAATTTGTTCTGTTCTAACATAATGGGTTTGTGTCAAACGAGTGCTCCAGTAGTCTTGCCCTTCCACATAATTGGGAGAGTTGGGGAAAAAGTCAGAATCAGTGCGTCTGAAGCCAATGTATTCCAAAATTTCGTCCCTGTCTTATTTTATGTAATATAAAACATATACTAATGCATGTAAATTGTATACCAATAAAGTCTAAGGCCTTGATGTAATAGCAGAACAAATCTGGTCCTGGTGAGCAGGCGGCATCATACTACCAACAAACCAGCGTAGCAAAAAATGCAATAATAGTACCAGGCTTAATTCAGTCAGCCAAATTCCAGATTCCTTCATGTCTAATGATGCAACTCATCCTTCGCTGTACTTCCCCTTATGTTCTATCAGCTCCCCACAATTAGCCAGTAAAGACAACAAGGCTTCACAATGTTTATTATAAAATAGGGTTGTCCAAAGATAACCTTGATGACATTACCAGGTTTATTTTCTCAAAAGTAATTATACCATGTTTCATTTGATAGTAGATGAACTCCAGAGGACAAATAAACTGTCACTTTTGGCTTTTTCTCGTTATGGTTGCCACATTTGGCATGTGTTTTATGCCGGATGCCCTTCCTGATGCAACCCTGACTAGCAGAGGAAAGTGTGCTGCTCCCTAACCACTAGTCTATCATGGAACAAATAAACAGAGGACAAATAAACTAAATGTGTAAAATTGTAGTGTCCCTTACAACATGATTTAATTTTTTTTTGTGAACCTGTTTTCCCAGCTTGGTGCTGATGGCTGAATCTGAGCCTACGCCGGCCTCTATCCAAGTCGGGGAGAAGAGAGGCTGTCCAGAGGATGAAGAGGAAAGCACACCCTCAAAGAAACCAAGAGTTGAGAGCGATCACAAGAATGGAGGTGCTCCACACCAAGATGAGGAGGAGCCTGAGGGGGAAGCGTGTGATGAAGAGGAGGATGGTGACACCTTTGCTGATATGATGAAGCACGGCCTCACTGAGTTGGATGTGGGCATTCTGAAGTATGTCAGTGACCATGAGGGCTTCTCAGGAATCCTGAAGGAAAGGTTCGTTGTCAAGGGTCACTAAAGAATCTTCATAACTCGCCTCAAAATGATTTTGTTTGGACTGGTTAACAGATGGTTTCTCTTGTGTTTTTTTCTCCCACAGATATTCAGATTTTGTGGTGCATGAAATCAACAAACAGGGCAAGGTAGTACATTTAGATGACCTCTCTGTCCCTGTGGAGAGTGAGGTAAGATACTGGATTGAACTTCAATCACCAGGGTCCCTTCTCTTTATTATTCATTTGAAGATTTCACTAACTTGGCTCATTGCATAAGTTGACTGAAAGGAAATACAGAATTTAAAATGTGGTATTATTTCTTGCCAAACGTAGTCACAGATACATTTTTTTTATTGTAAACTTGTTCACCTAGAGATAAAAATTGTGTTATGTGATATTGGTACTAGGATTAGCAAAACCAATATTAAAACAAACCCGTCATATGTTTTCTCCCGCCCTGGATCAAATCAGATGATGCTTTCTTGGGTTTTTGTTTTGTGATTCTTCTATGTCAGGAAGTCCATGAGGCAGAGCAGCAGCCACAAGAATCCGATGTGCTGACTGAAGAGCAGAAAAAGCAGCTGGAGGAGCTGCAGCTATTCAAGAATAAAGAGGGCAATGTCTCCATTGAAGTGAGATTACAGTTTTTGTACCAGTTAATGATGCCACTTAAACTTCATTTAGAATTTTACATAATGTCCTTACTTCTTCCTTTAACATCTGTAGGTGGTGGATGATACAAAAGAGAAACGGACACTGGTCCACAGAGCCATCAAGGTTCAGTTTCCTGGTCTGGAGACAAAGACGGAAGAGAAAGACGGTCACAAGTTCATAGTGGCGTATCATGCTGCCGGGAAGAAAGCTCTAGCAGGTATGTGGAGAGGAGACAGAAACAGATCTCAGTCTTTAAATGTCTGAACAGAATTCTTAGCCAGTAAATTAATGATCAAATAAAGGCTTCATTGCATGTCCTTTTTATGTCTACATCTTCAGCTTAATTTGCTGCAATGCATGTGGGCCCATCTGATTTACAGAGCAGTCAAACATGATGCATGCACTTGCACATACAGTATGCATGGTCAATACACCTTCATGATTCTGCTCATAGGTGTTTTTAAATGAGCAAATTTTGGTTATGAAGTAGCCTTATAATTCCGAGCAAGATTATAACTTGGTTTGGTCACAATTAACGCTGTAAAAGGTAAGGAAAGCAGAGACAGTATAATGGCGACTTGAAAACAAATACTGCACTCGTGTTACTCACCACGCTCCACTCTCAGGCCTGTGCATGAGATCTCACCCCGACAACTCACCCGACAGTCCATAAGAATCGCTTTTTAGTAACCTTATTCTATCCTCCTTTTGCTTTTCTCTGGTGGATAGAGGTCAGAACCACTGCAGGTAAGAACCTGTTCTCCATGCAGCACAGAGGAAGTGATTTAAAATTTACGTACATGGAGGTGTCAAGAACTACAAGTACCCAGTGCTTTTTAATATTAAAATTACGGTTAAACCTACTTCCATTCCTTCTTGCAAAGCAGGGATTGAATATGTGAGTCAAAATTAGCTTGATTAAAAAAACAAAAACAAACACAAAAAAAAGCTTTTTGATGCAAAGACATTTTCTGTATAGGTAGACATGCAAAGTGTGTAAATCTGTACCTGTAATTCCTAAAGTGGTTTATATTTTGAATGTGAATATTTAGCTCAACATTTCTTCATATTTCAGCTCAGCCTTTTTTTTTTCTGTGTCCATAAAAGCTCCAAGGAAACACTTCTGGCCCAAAACTCGTGGCAGTTTCTGCCACTTTGTCCTGTACAAGGAGAACAAGGATACCATGGATGCCATCAATGTGCTTTCAAAGTTCCTCAGGTCTGACTCCAATGCTTCTCATTTGCTTTGGGGAAAAAAACAATCATTTATTAATGAAATGTGCAGATTAACTGTCAGTGTCCACTGAAACGCTTGTAGTTATAAACTGTCACGTGTATAATCATGTGTGTTCTTCTAGGGTCAGACCCAACATGTTTTCCTACATGGGAACCAAGGACAAGAGGGCCATCACTGTGCAGGAGATTGCTGTGCTAAAGTGAGTGTGTGAAGCTATAAGCAAATTCACTACATCCATTAGTGTGATTTAATTTTCAGTCTTTCCATGATAATAGTAAAAATGTTTCAGCTGATAAAAGGCAGGTAATCGTTAGTGTTTGAGCTTGTTGCAGAAATTTGGTAATTAAAGAACCCCTTTCCTGTGTCCACTCAGGATCACAGCGGAGAGATTGGCTCACCTGAACAAGTGCCTCATGAACCTTAAGCTGGGAAACTTTTGCTATAAAAACCATCCTCTAAAGCTGGGGGAGCTGCAGGGCAATCACTTCACTGTGGTCATCAGGTCAGCAGATGTGACTGTGCATTTTACCCAATTCCTGTGATTTTATTTTTTAATGGATGCCGGTTAGCTGTAAACTCCAGGCAGAATCCAAATACTTGATGTATAGAAAAATTTCTCTATTTGCGAAAATCACTGGTTTGCCAGGTGGTGAGAACATAGGACACAGAAAAAAGCTCAGTCGTAGCTTAGAGTTGGCCATGATGACGGATTTCTGGTTTTCAAGATTGTGCACTCTGCATAAAATAATAAAGGTCACCATGGACAAATCTTTTAATACTCCAAGAATTTAATCTGACTCCCTGATTAAATTGCAGGATCATGTTTCAATTTGTGCGTATTCTAGTCACCACAATCACGAGTCGTAATCATTACCATCAAAATGGACTTAACAGAACTCAACATGTATGAGAATACTCATTTATGAACATCTGTCTTGGAGGCATTTAAATTTGAAAGTTTTTTTTTTTAATGTCTTTTTCCCCTCTTAATTTTAATTTCAGCCTTCATTTTTATAAAACACTGCATGTCCTCTCTTGAAATAGCTTTAGGTGTCTGGTCTTGTCATCACTGTTGCTGTTATGCACCCCATTTTATTTGTTAATATATGCGTATATCAGGAACATCTCAGGAACAGATGAGCAGGTCCACCGGGCCATGACATCCCTCAAGCAGACAGGCTTCATCAACTATTACGGCATGCAGCGCTTTGGCACCACAGCTGTGCCTACACACCAAGTTGGCAGGTAAGGTCACAATATGGAGATCAGGATGGTATAAACCACGGCATGGTATATATGACATGACTGTAAACTCAAGTGTAGTTTCTTTTATTGTTTGAGACAGGGCCATCTTAAAAAACGATTGGAATGAGGTGGTGGATTTGATTCTGAAACCTCGGCCCGGAGGTAATAAACTAGCATGTTCAGACTTCTTTTGTTCCATCTGTAAAGCAGTTCAGTAGAACCTCATGAATTTTTTTTTTCTTCCATCTTTATCGCTTCCCACAGCAGAGAAAGAATATGTGGTCCGCTGCAGGGAGGAGTGGGCAAAGAATCGGGACCCAGAGGCAGCTCTGAAGAAGCTGCCCAACAAGCGCTGTGTGGAGGGGCAGCTGCTACGAGGCCTGGCTATGTATGGCAAGAAGAACATTGTCACTGCCTTTGGACTGGTTGGTTTTCAGTTAATAATGTTGCCCAGTTGAAAGTGAGGATAAGAACATAACTTTGTACAAAACAAGTAATGCTCTGTTCCTCTGCAGCCAGTTTAAGTGTTGTTACAACCAAGCCCAAAGTATGATTATTAGACCGATTCAGGTTCTGAATTATTGTACAGATTCAGGTGTAAATATGTAACTGTATTAAGATTACTGCAGAGATTTAACGTTGCGCTCTTATAACATTATCGGACTCACAACAAACAGGTTTTTTAAGGATGGAAATTGATGCAGAAATGTATAGTAGTTTTTTTGTTCCATGTATTCTTGCCCCTTTTCATAACCTGGTGCCTGTATGACCCACAATACAACTTAACAGCTAACAGTTCAGTCAGACATTCAAGTGTGTTATGCTAGTAGTGGCTATTGTAGCCTCGGGTAGAGATGACAAGTGGGCTACAGAGGCGTGGTAAGCTCACTTCTCCCCCTTTTTTTTTTTTTTTTATTAAGTTTTCAAACCTGTAGTCTTCTGACATCATACAACTTTTTTCACATACTCTTCAAGACCTATAAATGATGCTCTTTCAATTCAAGATGTTAGTTGTAAATGGACTATTTAGTAAACCCCTAATGAGTTGATGCATTTAGCTATGACTGTTTGCTCTTTTTTCCAGATCCCCCGTAACAACCGTCTGATGTACATCCATAGTTACCAGAGCATGGTATGGAACTCCATGGTGAGCCGCAGAATTGAAGCCTTTGGTTTGAAGGCTGTGGAAGGGGACCTGGTGCTCAGAGGAGGTTAGTACCTTTTCTTTCAGCTAGAAGATATTGAATATTTAAAGGAAAAGTTTGATATTTTAAGAAACATGCTTATTTGCTTTCTTATCCAGGAAAATTGCATCTGGTAGTTTTTGCACTCGAGTTGTTTCAAACAAGACTTTTAACATGATTAGTGAGGTTTGCAGGTGTTGGTATGTGGAGTTAGTTGCTTTCAGAAAGATCCAGGCTAGCTAAGCTAGGCTAAAGATCTGCTCCGTATTTCACAGACATGAGAGAGGTATCAATCCTCTGTCAATGTGCTACTATCCAAATTAGGTTTATAGAAGAGTTTCACAGCTTTCAACTGATAAGCAGTGTCATTTAACTGATTCAGACATATGAGGTCAAGTAAAATGCATGTAATGTCATGGGATATCCGCTGTGAGCACCTCTTAAACATGTCACTGTAACAGCATTTTCAGTCTCATGATGTTATGGAGAAAATGCTGCCTGCTGATGTCCTCTCTGATATGTCCATGAAGCCGCAGCACAAATACTGTCTGCAGAGGAGGCTGAGAGTCGCTCCATCCATGACATTGTGATGCCACTTCCCGGCTTTGACGTTATCTACCCGACTCACCATGGTAAGAAGTGACCTTGAGTGATTTAGTGGTTATTTATTTGCATGTTACACAAAAGGATAGCTGTAAAATATAACATGGGGTAGTTTTAACACTGATCTATGTAGAAATAGTCGCACCTTTTCCTTCCTTTGTTATATACATGCAAGAAAGGGCTTTTTAAACTATGTCAGCTTAAATGGATACATATTAACATGACAAAACGGAATGAATGAATAAAATTAAAATCAAAATTGCCCGAAAGGGCAAGATCCCAGATACAGGCGGCCGAAATGAGCTTTCTCCGCAGGGCGGCCGGGCGCACCCTTAGAGATAGGGTGAGGAGCTCGGTCACCCGGGAGGAGCTCAGAGTAGAACCGCTGCTCCTCCACATCGAGAGGAGCCAGCTGAGGTGGCTCGGGCATCTGTTTCGGATGTCTCCTGGGCGCCTTCCTACGGCAGTGTTCTGGC